GGAAGAGCTCTGCCTTTTCTTCTCTCTCTGCCTTTCAAATACAATAAAGGTAAATCTTTTTTAAAAAGGAATAAATCAAGAGAAACCTAAAACAAAGTTCAAATGGGGGCAGTGCTGTGGTGAAATAGCTAAGTGTCAGACTGTAGCACCAGCATCCCATATGTATGCCTCTTCTTGTTCCAACAAATGTACTTCCCATCCAGCTCCCTGCTAATGCACCTGGGGAAGCAGCAGAGGATGGCCCAAGTCCTTGAGCCCCTGTGGGAGACCCAGAAGAAGCTTCAGGCTCCTGGCTTTGGATTGGCTCACCTCTGCTGTTATGGCCATTGTGGGAGTGCACCAGTGGGCAAGCTCTCTCTGTTTCTTCTCTCTTTATGTGTGTCTGCCTTTCAAATAATAAGCATAACTTTAAAAACCCCACAATTTCAAATGGAAATAATGATATGGAGAAGGATGCTCTAGTCCAGTGGATCACAAGTATCATCTTTAAAAAAAGATTTACTTATTTCAAAGGCACAACGACAGAAATGCACGGGTGGGGGTTAGGTGGAAGGAGGCTGGTGGATAGAGAGAAAATCATCCACCAGGTCCAAGCTAGAATCCCAAACTCCATCCAGGATGAATGGTGGGACTGCAAATACCTGGGCCCTCTTCTGCTGCTTTCCCAGACATATTAGCAGGGAGCTGGATTGTAAACAGAATAGCTTCACACCCAAACCAGGGAAAGCCGGCCTGAGGCCACTTTAACCAGCTGTACCAGGACAAGTTCAGCCACTCATGTGTCATTTTGTATCTGTAGCATGGCTGACTCCAATGAACTTGTTAGAAATGCAAATCCCAGGGTAACATCCCAGACCTAAGGAATCAGAAACTGGTTGTGAGGCTTAGCAATCTGTATTTTAAAATGTTACTGAGGTGACTGTGTGGCTAATTTCTATGTAAGAATCACTGTTTAAAATGATACCAAAAGACAGAAGTAGTAGTAAACCAAGTCAGCAGACTCCAGCCAAAAAGTGACCATGAGGCAAATTTCATGTTGATAAGGGGTAAGCTTCCTCAACAAAATACTAATCAGTCACAATATTTTACAAATTATAGCAACATCTAAAGCAAAAGGTTTTAGAAATATAATAAACAAAACCAATATTATAGAGGAAAGCCAATATTCCTCTCAGAGACACAGGCAAAAAGATTACACTGGATTTAGAATACCTGCATTAAATTTTAAAAGCCTGGTCTAATAAGGATGTTTAGATCTCATAAATAACCTTTTTGTAAACTTTTGGAGGTTTCAAATGAAAATCAGAGTCTATGTATAATGAATGACAATAAAAATCCCTAAACTTCAAAAATCTGAGATGCAGTTAATGCAGTACTCTTTGGGGGATTTAAGATTTTTTAAAGCTTGTGTCAGACGTAAATGACTCAAGCACTCAACTCACAATAGTAGAAGATAACCATGAACCAAAGAAGTAGGAATAGAAGTAGAGCACAGCAGAGTTAAGTAGAAAATATCTTCTCACTTGATTTCTTTGCTAATAAGGCCAAGAGTCCTTATTTTTTTATACAATAAAACAGAAACCTTTGGCAAGGCTGGTCACGAGAAGTGAACACACAAAAAACATTATGACTGTGAAATGGGACACAACAAGGCAGATTAAAAAAAAAAACCATAAATTACACATACAACTTTGAGACTGAGGTGAAATGAGATTTCCTAGTGAAATATCAGCTCTCATAAAGGGACTCAAGAAAAAGATGATATTGGTTTCTCTACAAGCCATTGAAAGGAGTTATTCCAAACACCTTCCAATTGTAGCTGAAGACACAATTCAGACAGTTTTAGGGGTAACTGTTAACGTATCTTTAAAGAATATATGGTTTCTATAAACACAGGAGAACAGACAAACTGTTCAAGTCATTGTTTGAAACTAATATTAATCTAATACTAAATTTGGGCTGAAAAAGTATTCTTCCCTTGGGGGAAAAAAACATATATATACATACATATACACACCAAATTCATTTAGATATAAGTACAGAGTTAAAATAATAACCATCAGCAACTAGGGATGCAGAAGTGGTTTAACGTTAGAAAATCCTTGAATATAATTTATTTCACTCATTTCTTTATTCATCAAACACTTAATTGAATGCCTACCAGATGACACACCATTCTGTATCTAGCGTACACAGCCCACAACAGCTATAGTGCTTATAAACAGGTGGGGAGAAAACGGAAACAACCAGTAAAATAATTTCAAAGTGTTAATGATTCTATGAAGGGAACCTGCAGGGTGATGTAATAAGAATAAACAGGGAGGGAGTACTTACTGAAACAGCAGTTTATAGTATACTTAATATATTTGAGCTGAGACCTGAGGATAGAAAGCAGCTTCCTAGAAAGAGGAAAGGGCAAAGTACCTGAGGCAGGTATAAGTCTGGAGGCTTAAAGATCAAAAAGACAACTGATACGGCCAGAATAAAATTATGGAGATGAAGTTAGAAAGGTGAATAGGGGGATTGTCAGCAAACTATCGCCCATAAACCAAATCCTGTGTGTTCCTGGTTTTTGTAAGTGAATCTTTGGAATAAGGCCAGATCGACAAATTTACAGGCTACTTATAGCTACTCGCCCTATACAATGGCAAAACAAAATAGTTGCCACGGAGATCCTGCATTCTGCCACGACAGAAAGAATTCTTATCTGGTTCTTTACAGAAAACTGGCCGACCTTTGCGGCAAAGCCATGTGGATCCTGGTCGGGGTTCTGGTTTGCTGAATAAACGCAACAGGGAAGCCACTGGATAGATTAAGGCAGGAGAGTGTCATATCTAATCTTGATCTTTAAAAAAAAACCACTTTTGAGGTCCAGTGTTTTCTTTTAAGGTGTTGATTAGACAGGAGTGTGGGGGAGTTATCCAGGTGCTTGAAATGGTGCTCACACAGGAATATATATGTAAATATTTACCAAGCTGTATATTAGAGACATTTTTTTACTTTGCTGTGTACAAATTATACCTTAATGAAAAGTTTTAAAAGCACAAAAGTGTCCCATAAGCAAATATATTGAGAAAAGAACATTATTTTCTCCCAGAAAATAACTTGCAGTATGTAATGCTCTAAAATGCAATAGTCATCAACAAAGAAATTATTTAAATTACTAAAAGTCAAAACATACAACTTAAAATCAGTAAGATAGGGGAGATAGGCACACCTAGACATATGCTGGTTAATGTAAATCAGCATAAACTTTTCCTAAGATGATTTGTCACTATCCAATTGAAAAATTAAATACCTTTTAAGCTAGCAATTTCACTTCTAAGAATTTATCCATTCAACATATTCCAATCCACAAAAATATGCACACACCTTAATGACATCAGCATGGCATTTAATAAACCTTTTAATTGTCTAACATTATAAGCCATCCATTGACAGGGACACAATTATAAGAATAATCATACAGTTACACCACAGAACACCATTTGTACGGATGTGAATGAAAGATGTCTTGCTTTTTCTCTCTCTTTTTTTTTTTCTGCAAAGATACACACCAAACTACCGACCGCCTAGAATTTTGAGAGGTACGCTCAAGGCATGAGTGGATGTAAAAAAGGTCTCTCACTACACCCCAAAATTTTATTATTAACAACTTCAAGCATATTGCAAACTCAAAAGAATTTTACAGTTGATCACTAGATTTTTGGCACCAGCGTTTTACTATGCTTGAGTTTTGCATGTTTAACATAATATAAACAAGCAGTTTGGAATTTTATTTAGCACATTGATATTGCCTTTTGTAATAAAAAGATGGTCTTGATAAATGAGTAATCTTACTATAAATTATTATTCCTTTCTTAATTCTCCCAGGGCATCAATTTTTCATTTACATATTCAATATAAAAAAGATCAACATTTAGGGTAATAACACATAACTGCCTTATTCCATGTTTGAGATAAAATTATTCCAGTATTTCATCCTGAGAAGAACTATTTTGCTTTTACATTTTAAATCATTTTTGCTTACACATTTCTATAACATCATTTTTTTTCTCCTTCTAAATGAATGATTGCAGTTGTCCTTTCATTTTGAAGTTTGTTGAGGTTACACATTTTAATAAAATCTCCTATGATTTAGCACTGTGACAACAAAAAAGGACCAAAAAGCATGAAATACAAAATTCTAATCTTTCTCCTTCTGGTACTTTTATTTTTTCCTTTATATTTTATTCACTATTGCATGTGTGTCTATGCCCACAATACTATCCTACCCCTTCATTCCATTTCCTACATGTGAAAAAATATTTTAGAGCAGTTGCTGGTGAGCTGGTATTTTTAAGTTTAACTTCATACTTTTTACTTGTAAAAAAAATCGTACTTTTAACATCATATCAGCCCTGGGCATAGTAAACAATAAGAAACAGTAAAATGAGAATTCCAAGTCTCCCCTACCCCCACAAACACAAAATCACATATTCAGAAAATGATATTTACTAACTGTGACACTCAAAAAACTGGTGTTTCGACTTAAGGCAAATTATGAAGCAATACATCACAGAACATCTTTCTTGAACGGAGGTTAAAATGTGCACGATTACAACTATCTAAATCTTTGATTCTAAATTCAAATCTACACATTGTTCAAGGAATACAAGGCGCTTTTTCCATGACCGAAATGGGAATGAAAGTGGGAATAATTCTACCGCATCCAAATGTATAGTGAATACCTGAGAATAAATTCCACGCATGCCAGACTTAATTTGTCATCAGACACCTTTCTGAATGGCCACTCAGCAGTCAAACCAATTCACAAGCTGCGTGATTTCTTTAAAGACAACATCTCTCCTCCTCATTGAACTTATCTCTCTAGTACCACTAACGGCTTTTAATTAACAACACACAAAAACATCTCTCCGCTTCTCTTCCCCTCAACTGAACTCCCGCAAACTATTTTTGAAACCCTCCGTTGGCTCCCGCCCTCTCCTCCCATTACTTACTTGTAAAATTGTGTTCCTTGGGCTGCTTGTCAGTCAACCAGATATCTCCATACGGATCTTCATTATTCCACAGCGCCAAGTAATGACTCTTTCCCCCCCTCAAGGGTCTCTCGGGCTTGACCCCTTGCGCTCTGTTTCTGAAGGGAGTTTCTAAAGAAATCGCATCTAAAGTCCGTCCGCATTGGACGTTATCTATGCACAGGATCCCCTGGCCTAATCTTTTCTCATTGTACAGACACGAGACTCTGGAAATTTTCATCTCTATGCCAACTTTAAGAATATTTTTATAAACGAGAGAGTTAAGGCTGGGGTCCAGGTAGCATTTCTCCCGATACACCCCGTCAGAGATCGTTACATCGTAGCAGTACAGTGGGCCCCCTCGTACATTGTCGTCCGGCTCCTCCAACAGGTATCTTTGGACGGCCAGTACGCTGACAAAAGCCACCTCCTTCGGGGTGACCCACGTGAGAGGTGAATCTACAATCTGCTCAAGAACTTTTTGGATCCAGGACATACACCCCTGACCACTAGCCCTTCTAATCACTCCTCCCGGGACCCCAGCCCGATTTCTCTCAAGATTTGGCCAATCTAGCCCAGCACTTGAGGGGCCGGCCTGAGGCTCATCTGCCTCCTCAGACATCGTGGACTAAAACCTGTACCTACTTAACTTCCCGAAACTATTTTGCCCTGACAAAAAGCCGGGCGCCCCGGAGCCGGCGCCGAGCGCTTTTCGCGGCAACCGCTACTCTGCCGCCGCTGAGGTAAAACGCTAGAAGCGGTCAAACTACCGGGAAGACGCTACGCGTGTGCGCGCCTCCTCTCCAGCCTGCCCCTCGCCTAGCGCGCTTCTGATTGGGCGGCACTGTTGCTAGGCAGCCGTACGTGTGGCTTGCGTAGCCAAGCGTTTGGTCAGACAGGGTGGGAGGGGGGCGGTGAGGGGAAAAGAGCTGTGAGCCAGAGGAGGGAAGGATTGGTGGGTTTCGTGGTTTGCTCATAACAAAGCAAGTGGGAGGGAGACCCCTCTACGGTAGGCTGCCCTAGAACAGGGGTAAGGGTGGCATGAGGCACCGGAAAAAGAGAGACAGGGCAGGAATGCAGTGCAGGTATTTATAACTCCAGGGCATTGAGTGTTGGGCCAGCAATAGTAAATAATGTAGAATTAATTAATTTACATTGTAACACTGATTTCCTGTGACAAAAACAATATTAGATAATGTATGCAGACTTAACCACCGACTTTCTCTGGCTGGCACCTGTGGTGCCAAGATTCCATACGGCCCGAGTTCATGTCCCGGCTGCTCCACTTCCCATCCAGCTCCCTACTTGTGGCCTGGGAAAGCAGCAGAGGACGACCTAAAGTCTTGGGACCCTGCACCCACGTGGGGAGACTCGGAAGAAGCTCCTGGCTTCGGATCAGTTCTGCTCTGATCATTGTAGCCATTTGGGGAGTGAAAAAATTGATGGAAGATCTTTATCCTTTTCTCTCTATAAATCTGCCTTTCCAATAAAATAAGTAGATCTTTTTAAAACGACCCACCTTATCACCACCCCCTAAACCATATACTAAGTGGAATTTCCATGTAGTCAAATTGTATTATCACATTCTGTATCCTTCCAATTCATGAAAAATTGATACTGGCAGTAGTACTTGATAGCTACCTAATGACTGAAGTTGGGAAGAAATCACATCTGTTTTTTTTTTCTTTAAATAAGATTTATTTATTTTATTTGAAAGGCAGAGTTACAGAGAGAGAGAGAGGAAGAGACACACAGAGAGACATCTCCCATCCATTGCTTCATTCCCCAAACAGCCACAACAACTAGAACTGAGTTGAGCTGAAGCCAGGAGCCAAGAGCTTCTTTCGGGTCTCCCAGGTGGGTGCAGCAGCCCAATGACTTGGGCCAATTCCCTGGCTTTAATAGGCCATAAGCAGCAAGCTAGATCATCAGTAGAGCTGGGACTTGAACTGGTGCCAAATGGATTGCTCGCACTGCAGGCTAAACTTAACCTACAACAGCACAGCACCAGGTCATCTTCTTTTTTTTTTTTTTTTTTAAATACAATGCCAACACTAAAGATGTTCAGTGACTATGGATACACATTTGGAACCTTTTGCATTGTTCTACTGACAATTCTCCCCAAGAATTCATGTGTTTACTGGGGGAGTAGTAATGCTTGTTGAGGTATGGATGCGTTATTAACTACTTGTTTCAGAATTAATTACAATACATGGTAATAGAAAAACTAAGGCAAATGATCCTCAGAGATAGTAATGGACATCTTTTTTTAAGATTTATTTTTTTTTAATTGGAAAGTCAGATGTACAGAGAGGAGAGACAGAAAGATATTCCATCCGTTGATTCACTCCCCAGGTGGCTGCAATGGCCAGAGCTGTGCTGATTCAAAACCAGGAGCCAGGAGCTTCTTCCAGGTCTCCCACACAGGTGCAGGGTTTCAAGGCTTTGGGCTGTCCTCGACTGCTTTCCCAGGCCACAAGCGGGGAGCTGGATGGGAAGTAGGGCCACCGGGATTAGAACCAGTGCCCACATAGGATCCTGGGATGGGCAAGGCTGCTAGGGTACAATGCCATGCAAAAGTAGACTTCTTACTGATTCCTTTGAAAGAGCAGCAGACACAGACACACAGACACACACAGACACACACACACACACACACACACACACACACACACACACACTATGGGCCGGGAGCTGTTGGGGAGAAAGAAAGAGAAGTCTTTCATTCTTTGTTCACTCCCTGAAGTGCTGCAACAGCTGTGGGACAGGCCAAAGACATAAGCCTGGAACTCCAGCCTGATTTCCTAGATGGGCCTTAGGAGCCCAAGTACTTGGGTTATCTATCACAGCCTTCTTGGAAGGCGTAGTTAGTTGGAAGCTGAATCAGAATGGAGGCTCAAATCAATACTAGTAATTGACATCATTTATGGTGATGGACACCTTTGCTTCCCTCCCATCTGCAAAGTTTATTATGTGCCCACCAGAGCTGAAAGTGGGAAAAGCAGTCAAGACAGTATTTTATAAAATAATGAGAATGTTGTAAAATACTCAGAACACATTAACTATATTACAGATATACAGATATAGATATGTGGTGATTATGATTCAGTTCTATACTAAAGATGAACTTACCAAATGAGGGAGTGGTACAAGGATCAGGCTGGTCCTACAATATCTTGGATTACGGAACTCAATTCAACGATGTTATGGCTAACATCTTCCTGTTAAGCTGTTTTTTAGATTTTTTTTTTCAGGAACTTCAAACTCTGATCAAAGAAACGAATCACAAATCTAGCCACAGACTCCCGACAGGCCGGAGCGCACTCTGCCATCCCAGCATGTTCAGAACACATCGGCCTCCTGTTGCTGACTCACACATCTTTTTTTTTTTTTTAAAGGTTTTCCATAGCATTAAATCATAGAGACCCTACATTATCCCCCAAATTTATATTGCTCTTAAATTTGAAAATATTTGTTTTCATCTGTCCATGCATTCTTCCAATGTTCCTTTCATCCATTTGCCTGAGTAGTCAAATTAGCAGCCTCCTCTGGCCTTGGGCCTTGGAAGTGCACTGGTAAATTGATCAAATTCACAAGATTATGAGTGTGGAGGTGGAAATGTGGGGGCGGAGGAAAAATAGGTGGCGTGACTAGTTGGTGCTAAAGGGATGTGGAGAGGTGGGATACTACCTCAAGCCTGTTTAGGTAAGCTGTGCACACATCACCACGGTAACAAGAGGGGTTGAGGGTGGCTGCCTGGCAACCAGAGCACTATCCGGCTTCAAGCTCAATCCTGCCCTTTCCTAACATCCTTCTCTTTTAAGGCTGCTGCTGGTGATTTTATTAGCTAAATTGCCTCTACCTGCAAGGATAAATCTATAAGGCTTATAACACACAGTTTCATTAGAATCAAGTATGTTTCTGTGCTGCCTTTCCATCTGATGCAGAAGATGGCTTGGTTTATTTCCTGGAAGTGCATAAACACAAATCTTTAATGCAGACTCACCATTTCAGTGGTTCTAGACAGCTTTTGCCCCTCAAAACCTCAAAAAATTACACACATTTATTCTTATGTCTTTGATTATGCTGAATATGTAATAGATACACCATAAATGGTTTATTGATGCTCTGTTCACTTACCTGCCGCCCAATAAAATCTTACTACCATTTTCATAAAAATACGTTACCTTCTTTTCTAAGTCTCAAAATTTTATGTTTGTAAGAGATGTGGATTTTAGAATGTAGATCTGTTTATATTAAATTCACTAGGTCCTTTCCCGTCACTATTAAAGAAAGGGACCTGCTATTAAATTTCTGGGATTTTGGCCAGTGTCGTGGGGTAAAATATTAAGCCTTCAGTTGTAGTGACAGTATCCTATACATATTCTAGTCTCCGTTATTCCACTTTGAATCTAGGTTGCTGTTAATGACCTGGGAAGCCAGCGCAGGAGGACTCAAGTGCACAGGACACCTTGCTGGAACTTTTATATTCATTCCTTAAATTTCTATAAAAATAAATTTAGAGGTTATTGAGTGTTTTCTTGTTTTTGGTTTTTTTTTACTATTTGAGCCTCCTAAGAAATGTATGAGAAAAAGTGACAATCAAGATGGTGGTATAGAGTAAGGACACGTTTAAATAGACAAAGAAATATTAGCCAGTGTAAACCAGAGAGGGCATATTCCAGGAAATAGGAGAGGACAGAACAACAGCAGAGGGGCACCTGGAGACTGACAAACACAGGAAAGCAGTGGACACAATGGTGTGGTATTGCAGTGACTGATATTCCAGCAGCATTCAGCTGACGGCGATCTGAACTCTACCAGCAACCGGAACTCCACCAGCCACAAGGTTCCACCCAAGACAGGTCCGGATTGCCCTCAGACCTGACAGCCAGCAGATCAAGAACTCAAGTAGTGGCACATCAGGCACCATTTCTTACAGTGTGGCAAAGAATTTAAGACTGCAGTGGACAACAGTGAGCTGTGCATATGCTGAACTTGGCGAGAAATCACTGAGCTTGGTGTAATGCATTTTCCCATAGGAAAATAATACCAACCATATCATTGTACGGGTCAAAATAGGTTCATGTGGCACACAGACCTAGCAGCCAACAGGTTCTGGCAAAATCAGCACCACCAACCACCTACCTATATAGGACACCTGATGTATTCCTAATCCTGGGACCTACTCCAACCGGAAGTGGAAAAAAGGTTGTACAGAAAATGGTGCAACCTCAGCACGGTATCACAGGAGGTGGAAACTGGTGAGCCAGGAGCTGGGGCTACAGAGACCATGGTGGAAATCTGACATAAGATCCCAGACTTGGAACTCATTGGAGGGAGTGGCACAAGTGACTGCCAACAAAGAGCTGTGTACCAACTACAAAAAGTAAAATTGAACTGCAGACCTGTGGGTGACACAGCTTAGAAACCTGTCCCAAGGAAAAGTTTGGCTAACCAGAAGTATAATGACCAAGAGCAAAAGAAGAGACAAAGGAACAGTGAATATTGCTGAAGGCTCCTCTGCAAAGGAGCAAAACCCTTTGCTAACCTTAGAGTTAACTGAGGCATACATCAAGAAAATGGGGGACACAGAATTCAAAGCAATTGTTACAAAACTTC